AGGCTGGCTAGGAGCGAAGCCTAAGCACTTGAGGAGGTACGTGGAGCTGTACAACTCCAAGGGTTTTCATGCTGTCACATTCGTTGCTTCGGTGAGAGATGTACTTTCGTTTGATTTAGCGAGGAAACTCGAGGAGAGGATTGCATCCATGGCTAGTGAGCTCGCATCTTGGCTGTCGCATCCAGATAAGGACGGCCGCGAAAGGGTCTTGATCTTCCATACTTTCAGCAACACCGGCTGGCTTGCGTAGGTTGATTTATTGGCTCTTAATTTTGGAAGTACAAGTTGCTTCTAGTTATATTTTTATACCCTGTTTCATCAAAAACTTACTGCTGCAAGTATATAACTATTATGGGGGAGTTTATAGCATTTGAGATCTTAGCTTTGGTTATTTTGATCTTACAGATCTTACCTTTTCGCGTCTGTCTCCCGTGCAGCTACGGTGCCATTCTTGACAATTTGAGAAGCCAAGAGGATCTACTGGATAAGATCAAGGGATGTGTTGTTGATTCAGGAGGAGACCCGCATATAGAACCTAAGGTTTGTTTCCTTAATTGCAAACTGTATTGTGCAGTTTCATGTAGCTTACATCATACTCCGTAACAGATAATTCTTGTTTCTCGAAGTCCAAAAGCACATCTGGTCAATTTCTTGTAACTGATAAAAAGAAGAGGCTGTATTACACACACACACACACACACTCATACATACGGAGTATATTATATACTAGTATAATTTTTCAATATTGTTTGCAGATGTGTCTTTTGCATCTTTATAATTCTCCATTTTATGCAGTTAAAAATTCATAGCATTTCATGCCCCTTTTGTAGAATTAGTTTATGGGCGTTGAGAAGCACTCTTCAGTCTTTACACTGCTGATATCTTAGGTATAAGAGGTTGGGGTTGTCCTGCTTTCATGAAACTATTTCAACCAACAATAGTCCAATTGAATGATAGATGTCTTGTGAAATAGGTTTGAAGTCTTGAAGGTGTTTCCTAAACCTTGTATGGCAGTATATTGTTTTTTATGTTCGCGGTTCACAATTGGCTATTAATTTTGTGTAATTGTGTGCTTGAGTTTGAGACATTATTAGTTGTCGAAGTCCATGTAAGTCTTCTTGCTTACGGCATGCATTAAAAGAATAGGAGGTGGTTCATAAAAAAGTTGGCACTTTGGACTTTCTGTTCAAGGTACAAGCTGGTGTATCATGTATGTATGTCTAAAAATGGAGTTATGCGTATATTCTTCACCCTGTTGTGTTCGTCTTCTTGTGTGGGCCACATGCAATCGATGGGGATACTTCTTGTTTGGTACACTATGGAGTATCATTTCGATGTTTTGACTTCTCGTGAAGCTGAAAGCTGCTTTTTGACGATGACAACAACAACAACATTGTGCATCTATCTAACCATGCGAGAAAGCGAAGTGGTTTTTAGGACCTCTGGTGGAGCTTTTTTTTAGTTTATGGTATAATAATATATTCTAATGTTTTAGCCTTTTAGGGTTGGTTTTCTACTTGTCTGACTGTATAACGTCGTAACACGATAGTCTTAGACTCCAAGTAGTTAGCTCAGATGTAAACTTTTTATTATCAATTATCGTTCTTCAGGTCCTAATTTCCCTTGTAGCCCACATTTTCCTTCTAAGCACTCCCTCTGTCTCTCAAACTTTGCCTTTGCCTGGTACGGAAAATTAAAGTATAAACCTTGTGATTGAAATTTGTGCAGAGGAAAGAAATAATAGGAATCACAAATTCATTGATTAAAGGGAAAGTGACAAAGTTTTTGGGACATCCCAAAATGGATTGCTGAGTTATAAGGGACAGACAGAGAGTATATATATTTGATGCTTGCTTCAAGGCTATTCTGATCATTTTCATTTACCCCAGTGCCGCAAAGAATCCCACTTACGGTGGGGTAAGGGGGGGTCAGATGTACGCAGTCTTACCCCTGTACTAGAGAGACTGTTTCCGGATGACCCATAGTGAAAATCCCGTCCAAAATTGCATGGAGTGGCTGCTGCTTCATAACAAAGAAGCGCAGACAGTTTAGTGAGCCATTTTGTTTAATTCCATCATAATCTCAAGCCAAAAAATAATGAATCTTTGGCTCCATTGCAAATGATGGAAATTCAAGGCTATTCTGATATGTGTTTAAATTCTTTTACTATTGATAGATATTTTCAAAGTGGGGTTATCCTAAATTATTATTGTCTAATGATTACTGATTGTCTAACATGACTGCCTATCAATAAAATCAATTAGTTAATGTTCTCTAAACCCGAAACTAGTGTGTATTATGTATGCACACATAATTATGAATTGTGCTATATATATACCCTGCCTCGATCTTAATGGGTTTATCCATAGCAAACAACTTATTAGAAGTAACTCGATGTCTAATTTTGGCAGGTGTGGGCAGCAGGCTTTACTGCAGCATTGCTAAAGAAGCGTAGCTCTTCTGTATTGCCCGGAGAAGTACATGAGTTGTCACATGGTTCCCCTACAATGCAGGAAAAGAAGCCCTGGTTATTGGAAACATTGCTCTTTGAGGGATTTGAAAGACTCTTCTCATTCCTTCTGAAATTGCCAAGTGAAAACCGGTAAGAACTCAAACAGATCTCCAAATCATCTTCCTTCCAGATGAAGGGGAGAATCTGTGAAACATTTCCAAAAGACAGAAATTTAAAGAGCTTTTTAATTGAACTATTTAATTTCGTGTTGAACAGAAGGTTGATGAAGATCATATCTACTCTGGTGAATGACCAACCGCCTTGTCCGCAACTTTATCTTTATAGTACTTCAGACAAGGTGATTCCATTTCGGTCTGTTGAGTCATTCATTGATGAGCAGAGGGGGAGGGGGAGAGAAGTGTTGTCATTCAACTTCAGGACATCTCCCCATGTAGACCACTATCGAACTTTCCCTTCCACTTATGCTTCGCTGCTGCAGAGTTTTCTTGAAGGATGTTTGGTCAAGGTTAAGAAAACATAGTGATCTGTTTAACTACTCGAATATGTCAAATTATATTTGATCTTGGATTTTACAAATTATAATCGTCAAATTGTACTCTGTAATTCTTATGTCATAAATTTTGAATGGAGTGGATTATGCTGAAAATGTCATTCAGCCTTGAGACTGACCCATTATTATTATTCAGCCCTTCAGCCAAAACATTACCCTTCACATGCCGTTTGCATTCGTTTAGTACGTTGGAATGGTTATTAACTACTGTAGTACCTTATGTAAACAGTATCACTGTTGTATTTTTTATCATTATTATTAATATTAATATAATTATTTTGTCAATTATTAGTTATTACTGACTTTACCTTCTCAAACTTTTCCCTTCTCCCCTTTTGTACAAATTTTTATTACAACTGTGCAACTTGTTGTATGTGTAAAGAGGAATTACTAATAAAATGGAGTGAAAATTTATCTTATTGTCACTAATTAACTCACTGATATACTCCGTAATTAGTTCGCCAGTTGGTGAAGTGGCTAGGCTCCTTTTAGAGGTAAAACTGAAAACTTGATCACTTGTAATTCATTTTCTTATTAAGCGTGTAAAAATGAATTCAGATTTTAAAAAAAGAAGGGAGAATTATCAAATAAGCCCTCGAACTTTCGAAAAAGTGCAAATAAGCCTTTTTACAGGAGGTTTTGTTCGGCTGTCAACATTTGGGGCACTTTCCAGTGGAATTTTTTGATGAAATTTTTTGAACATCTTCTTCATTAAGTCTAGTTTACCCATACCAAATTTCAGATAGAAATTCAATCGAGAAGTCATTCAATTGATTTTCTAAAATATACTGTGTTGCCTAATTGCACAGTTATCTTCAAAAATTCATTTGACTGCCTTCTCGATTGAATTTTTAGCTGAAATTTGGTATGAGTAAACTAGACTTAATGAAGAAGATGTTCAAAGAATTTCATCAGAAAATTCCACCGAAAACTGCCCCAAAAGGCGATGGCCGGACATAGCCTCCTATAAAAGAGCTTATTTGCACTTTTTATGAAAGTTCGAGGACTTATTTAGTAGTTCTCCCAAAAAAGAATTACACCATATCCCTTTTTTATTTTTAAAATGGAGGTGAAGCCGTGAAGGAATGTTATGTTAATTAGAAAATCGATCACATGTCATTAGGGATGGATTCGGGTCGGGTCGGGCCCGGTCGGGCCGCCGGTTCAAGAACAGTGGGCCCGGGACCGGGCCGAGGGTTGGATGGGTCCGGTTCGGGCCGGGCCACCCGCCCGGGTCACGGGTCGGGTCCGGTTCGGGTCGGGCCGGTTAATTTTTTTTTATAATTTATATTTTATATTTTATAGTTTATAGTTTTATACGAGTATTAAAAACAAACTTCAATTGCATTTATTTGAAATGAAATAGGAACTACATTTGAAAATTAAAACAAACTTTAAGAGATAAACATTTTGAAAATTGTAATCAATCGGAACTTCCCGCACCTCCCGATCCTTTGGCTTTGTCACATGACTTCATATGCTTGATTGCCATCCCGAATCCGCCTGAAGCCCCCATAATACATTTTTTTTCGCACCATTTACAAATTGCGTACCACATCCCGGTCTTCGGGTCCTTCTGCTTATCAAAATTATACCGTATAATGGCATTTTGATTTTCCATCTTAACTTCTTGGAGAAGAGAATTAGAGAGTAGATATATAATATATTGGAGAATAAGAGAATTAGAGAGTAGAGAGTTAAGAATAGGATTTAGGAAGAATTGGAGAAGAGATGAAAAAATGTTTAAGAGTAGGAGAATTTATAGGTTTTTTTACCCCCCACCCCCCCCCACCCCCACCCCCTACCAGCCAACCCCCCCGGACCCCCCCTTTACCCCACCCAACGGCTATATAGCCGTTTGGGTTGTCCCCAGCCCCACCCCCAAGGCCTCAACGGCTAGTAGCCAAAAATAAAAAAAAAAAGTTTTTTTTTTAAAAATAGACCCGGACCCGGGCCCGGGCCCGACCCGGCCGGGCCGGGTCACAAAAATGATGAACCGAGCCCGCCCCACCCCTTCCCCCCGGTTCGGGCCCAGACCCGGTCCCGGACCGCCCGACCGGGCCGGTCCCGGGCCCGCACAGTACCGGGCCGGGCCGGGTCACGGGCCGGGTGGCCCGAACCGAATCCATCCCTACATGTCATTCATTTTCTTATTAAATGTGTAAACATGAATTTAGATCCGTAAAATGGAGCTGAGAAAATGTTATGCTGTTATTGTTAAAATTAAATAAAATAAAACACTAATAATAAAAATAAGAGCTAGTATTGAGAGAGCAAGACTTCATAATTCATATGAAGAAATGTTACGTAGCTTTCTTCCTTCCATTACATGCATGCTACATATATAGTACAATGCTTGATGTGATTAATATAAAGAAATAATACATGGGCCATGCATATCATGCACCCACGTACATATGCTTATTAATAGGGAAACATTACACATGTGAATAATAATAATAATAATAATAATAATAATTGAACAGTTTGCTACTTTGGTACATTTTTTTAATGAAATAGTTACTTTATGCCAGACCTTTTCTAATAAGAAGGTTGACACCCGGGACGGATCCAGGATTTCGAGTCAAGGGGGCGAAATTTTTTCGTTTGTGGAGGGGTGTGAAATTCTTTTCGCTAGTGTACCGAGACAATTTTTTTAGCTAGTGTAACGGGGCGATTTTTTTGCTAGTGTAGGGTTCTGCGGCTATTTTTTATTCAAAAAAATTTCATTAATACACATACACAAGGACATTTAAATCTATTTCATTCTAAGGTTAGATAATGAAAAAATAACTTTGGTTTTATAATTGAAATGATTTAGAGAAAAGTATTGATACATTAAAGCTGTTGAGGTTTAGTCACGCAGATCCGAAAGCCCAACACGAACTTTCGATATATCAGGAAATGGATCAGAATCAAGTGTATAAAGAAATATAAAAGATGAGTAATTGATTGCTCTAAATCTCACTTTGTATTAAATAACTTGCTTGATTACACGGAAATCTCCTGATCGATACGTCGGAGTAGTGATTAATACAAGAACAAGAGTGATAATGCTATTCTAGAGCTTGAGTATGAAAATGCTAACCCTTTACAATGAAACTAATCCTTCTATTTATACTAATGGGGGTATGGGGTACTTCATGTTGATTGGTTGCTTTATCTAGCCACTTGGAAACCCGTACTCCCACTAGCTACCGTCATACTTTAGCAATAAATGCTCCCTGCCACTTGTTGGCTACCCGCTGCCCGAACGGTTAGTGGACCCTGCTGTAATCATCATTGATCTGGCCCAAGTAAGTTGATTAGACCGAACCTCGTTCGGTACATTGATCTGGAATCACCATTGGTCTGGCCCATTATTGATCTGGCCCAAGTACGTTAATTGACCCGAACCTCGTTCGGTACATATTTTTCCATGAGTCAGTTCATCTTCTGGATTATGGGCCCGTCCATCGGACCAGATATCTTGGGCCTTGGATCCGGGTATTGGGCCTGCGGCCCAATATCCCAACACGAGTCCCCCCACTCCCGATGTCTCAAACGGTAGTGAGTGCATTGGGAAGTAGAAGTTACCTGCCGAATGGCGATCGGGATCCAGAGTTCGCTGGTTCCCCATGCCATGATTAGTACCTTTCTTGCGGCTGTCGTTTGATTTTTCCCATAATCGTCATGATTACTGATGGATAAGTGTACCCGGGGGGTATCTATCCGAGGGGTTATTGCGGGGAGAGAGTAGAGAGAAGTAAGAGCAGAAGTAAGAGAGAGAGAATATGTATTGCTGAGAAAGTATTGAGCGTATTGAGCCTGGATTACAAATGGGGAAAGGGGTGCTATTTATAGTAGTAATAAATGCCAGATAGGGACACGTGTCATCATTCTGGTGGTCGAGGGGTCACCTCAACGGGGTGGCACTGGCACTCGCATGTGGCCGCATTAAATGCGGTGGTTGGATGTGACGTTCGTACTCGGTACGTCGATTCGGCGCATGTGGGTGGGAGATTCTGTCGATGAGATGCCTTCGTCCGTAGATAATTGGCCGAAGGCTCTTCATCCCGGGGGCCTCTAGGTGCCGAGGGCTCTAGGTGTCGAGGGCTCTAGGTACCGAGGGCTATTGTTTTCGCCGCTTTCTCCCAGAAACTTTGAGTGCTTTAAAGAAGCTGTACTGTAAGTTTATGAGCCTTCGGCCAAGGGGCCGAAGGCACCCAGTGTTCGTCGTGGGCTGTTTGGCATTTGGGGCGCTGTGATTTGGGCCTGCTGTGCTTCCTGGGCCTATTGGGCCTTCGCTATAGTAGTGGGAGTCTATGGGCCGGGGGTTCCTTGGCCATATACTTTATCAGGAGTCCCTCACTCCTTTTACCGAAAGGTACTTGAGGGAAAAGGAGTAATTGCGGTTGTCCTCTGATGCTGCCTTGCTTGTATCTTGTAAACCTGTGAGAGATTTATGTTTGCGCACGATTCTGCTGAGGGCAGTCCTTCAGTCCCCCACATTTTGGGACTTGAAGGATTATGTTGCTGCTTTGGGGAGATTTTGACATTTTCATTTTTGTGATTTTTCCCGAAGGTTGACACTTTTCGTTTCATTTTGGGGGGATGCCTCGTTAAAAACCTCATTAGGAAAAACCCTATGGGAAAAAATCCTAATGAGGGAAAAAGAGTGCACCGAATTCCCCCAATGATGACTCGAAAAGGTGAAACCTTGGTCTGAGATGAAGGACAAAGTTGATGCCGAAGGCTACCCTTGATCTGAGGGCGCGTGTTTTGACTTCCCGAAGGGGAGTCCCTCAATCCATGGGATTGAGGGCGTGATGAATGTAAGTGGTAGTTGTTGTGTTGCCGGGGGGATTCTCTAGCTATTGACAAGCTGGGGATGAGGGCACCCGAAGGCTAACCACTGATGAGGGGTTTGGAGGTGTGGCCCCGAGGGTTTTCTGATTCCCAACACGTTGAGGGTTGGGGGGTTCCGAGGGGTTTTCCCGTTGTTAAGCCATGGTCTCCTGAAGGAGAAAGCCCGAAGGCATTTATAATGTTGTATGAGGGGTACCGGCCAGGAGCACCTCTGTGATTTCAAAATATAGTCGTTGCAATCATACCGTTGGCACATGGAACGTTTAAAAAGTAGCTGTTGGCTAGCTTTGGGCGGGCATCACCGGTTGGCGGAAAGGGCGGCATGTAATGATGATTTTCGTAACCGGAGGCCCGGTTTTGGGCCCAAGCCTGGATTTGGGTGCCTATAAATACCCCAAGGCCAAGGCCATTTTCTTTGTGCGATCATACTGTAGCGAAGCTGTGCCGGATTTTTTCTAGAGAGAGAAACAACCCTTCGATCACATCCTCACTTCCCAAGGTCAGTTGGTCCTCCTGTTCTCGAGTTCCTTAGCGTATTTTCGCCCTTAGGCTAAGTGCTAGAGTTGTTTAGGGAGCCTTCGGTTTCTAGAACCCCTCATCCCATAGTTCTCGAGGATGTCTTTGCAAAGCGATTCTCAAAACATATCGAGGGAGCCCTCGGCGGAGGAGGAGAGTATATCAGATGTCGAGTCCATGAGTGAGCAGCCCTCGGTGGGTGATGATGCCGATGTGGCCATGGAGGTACAAAACACCCTCCAGATGGAGCTAGAAGTCGAGGAGTTCGAGCAGGTGTGTGAAGACGAGGAGCTGGCCCTCGCCTTTCAAGTGGCCGAGGATGAGGCGCGAAAGGAAATGATGAAGGTCACCGTTGCTATCCCACCCCCTCGCAATGACGCTGCAGCCGGGAGCTCGAGGCCAATGGACCCGACGCCTATCAGCGTGGCGCCGGGAAAAAAGAAGAAGACGAGGGCAGTACCGAGGAAGAAGTAGGCTGCCGTCGACGCGGGTCAACCAGTAGGGATTCCTGAGGGCTACTGCTACCTCAACACCTCCGCCCTGGATGTGAAGACCAGGGCCACACGGGGAGAATACATGGCGACGCAGCTCCTGGTCGGGCCCTCGGCACAGGTGGTGGAGCCGGGGCCAGATGACGTTCTGCTACATACCCCCACTGGCTGTTTCACCGTGTGCATACTCTCGGTGGAGTTGGGCCTCCGATTCCCCCTCCACCCCTTCGTGACCGAGTATCTTCGGTTCGTCAAACTTGCCCCCTGCCAACTGACATCGAACAGCCACTCCTATCTGGCTGGCTTCCTTTCCCTTTGCCGGAGCCGGGATGTGGAGCCCACTCTAGATCAATTCTTCCTTTCTTTCAATCTCTGCCGGGGAGGCCACTCAAATGTCGGGGCTTCGCCAACCTACAGCAGCTCCCCGAATTCAGGCTTTTCGACGATGTCCCCTCATCTCACAAAGGGTGGAAAGACAAGTTCTGCTACGTCCGAATGGCGGAGAATCCCTTCCCGGCCCCACTCCGTGATAGCTTCTGAAGGCATGTTAAGGTAGGGAGCACCGCCTTGGAGAAGAAGGGGAGGAAGCTCTCCAAGAAGCCTGATGGGTCTGAGAAGCATACCAAGATCAGGGATGCCACCCCTCCAGACGAGCTTAACGACATAGGCTTCCGGCGGTACCGGTTGATGGAGGAAAGCGACGAGAGATATCCCCCTGTCGATAGGGTCTATCAAAGTGCCGGAGGTAGTCGCCTTACCGAGGGCTCCCATTTCATACTTAGGAATTTTTTTTGTTTCTTGCTGCATTATCATCCTAACCCTTCTGTATTTCCCTTACTTTTCAGGACCAGACATGGACGCTAGGAACCTCTCCAAACTGAAGAAACAACTTGCGAAGGAGAACACGAAGAAGGACGCCCCGGCGCAGCAGAGGGCGGTGGATGATATCTTCCCGAAGGTGGGAAATGCCGACGGGGCCAAGGAGACCGTGCCTGAGGTGAAGGTTGCCGCCGGCGATGACGTCGGTTCCATGGCCGAGGGCTCCCCCGTTGAGCAGCTAAAGAGGAAGCGCGCCGGGAAGGCCGTGGTGCCCTCGGAGGGGAAGAAGTAGAAGAAAGGGGGCCTTGGGAAGAAGGATGCCCCGATTGTTATTGTCGAGGAGAATTCCTCCTCCGAGCCCCCGGTCCAAGCCCCCAGAATGGCGTGGCACCAAGATAAAGTGCAATTCTCCATCACCAAGGGGACTGCCATTATGCACGCGACTTTGAACCCGAGGGAGTTCTTGAGGGGCTCCACCCCTCCGACTGATAAGTTTGTGCTCTCCCGGTAGGCTGATGATGCTCTCTGCTCCAAGGTTCTTCAGGCCTCAGTCACTGTAAGATCCCCTCTCTCTTCTTTTCTTTAGCCAACTTAGAATCAATTCCTTTGTGCGTAGTGATTTTAACCCTCGGTGTTTTCTGATCTCCTTTGTAGGCAAGCCTTGGCCTCGGTGAACTCGCCTAGAGGATGGAGCGTTATGCCCTTCAGAAGCAGAAGGATGACGAAGCCTTGGCTGTGGCCCAAAGGAGGCTTCGGGAGGCTGAGGAGGCTTTCAGACTCGAGAGGGTGGCCTTAGAAAGAATTCTTGATACCGCCAAAACTGCGGCAAAGGCCGAGGGGAGAGCTGAGGCAGAGAAGGTAGCTGCTGAGGCCGCCAAGAAGGCCGATAAAGATGCCGAGGCCGCCAAGGTGGAGGCGGCGAGGGAAGCGGTGGCCGTCTTCGTCGCCGAGGGCTGGAGAGCTGAGGACCAGAAAGCATGGGTGGCTTCGGTAGTTGAGGCCTCCGTGGATGAATGGATAAGAGGTCCCAGGGTGATTTACCTGGCCCAGAAGGGGAAAGAGTACTATGATGGGGGCGAGTACTTTACTCAAGCCCTCATCTATCGGAGGCTAGCCAGGCACCTGGGAATAGACCCGTCGGCATTTGACCCGGCGGCTTACGGGCTTCCCCCTCTCCAGCCAGACACCAGAATTCCCCTCCCCGAGGGTGTTAATAGGCCAGATCTCGAGGACACCATCCTGATGGCGGAGTGAAGCGACGAAGAAGAAGAGGCCGGGGATGATGCCACGTCGAAGCCTGCCAAAGGGGGCGATGCTGCTGCTGTTGACGACGTTGTTGTCGTATAATTTTGATTTTTTTTCTTGTAACGAACATGTACAGTCTTCCGGCTTCGGCCTCCATGTTTGACAATTTGCCATTTACTTTTTGTGAATTGATGAATGGATGCCTTCGGGCCTTTTGCATATAATCTGCTTTTCCTTTTGAATGTATGCCTTCGTCTTTCCCCTCCTTGTTTTTGAATGGGTGCCTTCGTCTTTTTTTTTTGTGAAATGAATGCCTTCGAATTTGCCTTGTGAATGAATGCCCTCGTACCTTGATGTTTGAGTTGTCAGTCGTTTAGGACTTAGAAAAATTTTCTAAGTGTTGTTTCACCACTGAACCTTCGGTTGTGTGACCCCTCTGGCTGCATGGAGATTTGACCGAGGGTCGAATATTTAGGACTTAGAAAATTTCTCCAAGAGTAGTCTCACTACTGAGCCTTCGGTTCATGTGACCCTCTGGCTGCATGGAGATTTGACCGAGGGTCAAATATTTAGGACTTAGAAAATTTTTCTAAGTGTAGTTTTTTCTTGAGCCTCCGGTTAGTAGGCACTTCTTGCTGTATGAAGTGGAGTGGCCTTCGTTACAATGTGAGTTTGAAATGTAGTTTTCCACTTAGCCTTTGTTGCACTGATAGTTGACCGAGGGCCAACCGGTTTGGACTTAGAAATTTTCAAAGTGTGGTTTGGCCACTGAGCTCTCGGCTAGTAGGCCCCTCTGGCTGGATGAGATAGGGGGCTCAAATTTTATGTGCCAGCCTTCGTGTACTGCCCTCTCATGGATATTAATTTGACAGAGGACCAAGCATTTTAGGACATGGAAATTTTTTCTATGTGTTGCTTGTCTTCCCTTAGTTGCATTCAATGGCTTGACCTTCGTTGCATGATGGGTTGGCTGAGGGCCAACCATTTAGGACTTAGAATTTTTGCCATGATTCATGATTTGCCCCTCGGTGAATAGACCCTTCGATTTGTAGTAAGAAATCCCTTGGTAAAGGATGGTGGTCCCGGAGGCACCCAACTTTGTAGACTTAGAATAGTTTCCCTTGGCTTGTAAGACTGGCCTCTGGTAATGTGTAGCAGATGCCTTCGCTTCGGTAATGTGAGCCTTCGGTGTTGGTGATGCCGGAGGCACACAGAAAGTGGGCTTAGCTATTCCTTGATGGTATTCATCTAATAGTAGCCTTCGGGGATTAGTAGTTTACAGATACCGGGGGTGTTCCCATGGGGAGCCCTCGGTATGATCTGTATTGTCTTGTGATGTCGAAGGGCTTCCTGTTGTGTTTTGTTGAAGTTGTGTACTCATTGATTTTTCGCTGAGTCTACTCCCCTTCACCCGATTTTTTTTGGTAATGAAGGGAAGGCTTCGAGAAACTTGGTTTCTTGGTAAGGCTTGGCCTATCGGGAAGCAACATCATACACCATTAGCTCCCCCTCGGGTTAACCTTCCGAGTTCCGAGGGGATCGATGGTCGTTTCCTGGGCATGAGACATAGTCTTTAGCCTGCCTCCCCTTGGGGGATGGCACGAAAAGCGCCTCAGTTTTGAAAGTCGTTCCCTGGGCACGAGACATAGTCTGTGGCCTGCCATACCCTTGGGGTAATGGCGTGGGAAGCGTTTCGTTTTTGAAAGTCGAATCCTGGGCATATTAGTTGCCTACCATACCTTTGGGGTAGTGGCGCGGAAAGCGTTTCGTTTTTGAAAGTCGAATCCTGGGCATATTAGTTGCCTGCCATACCCTTGGGGTAATGGCGCGGAAAGCGTTTCAAGGAAGGGTTTTCATTTGCACACTGGTTGCAAATGGCCGGGGGCACTACGTGCTTCCATCACCGATAGGTGGCGCCTGCGGTATGAATGCGTCCTCGAGGGGTACGACTTCATAAACAACACTTGGTGTTTGTTTCAGCTCCCGGTACTTGGTACCGAGGGGTCTTCAAAAGGAAACACTTGCTGTTTTCCGTTGTCTGGAGTTGATAGGAGTACGTACCCTCGGCACTTTGTACCGAGGGGTCTTGTTTGAAAAACACTGGTGTTTTTCTTCATTCATTGCAGGTAGTGGGGGTGTCTACCCTCGGCACTTGGTGCCGAAGGGTCTTGCTTGTAATAAGGCCTTGGACCGGGAGCTTGTTATGAGGGCTTGGCCGCTCATAAGAGTCTTTTTTCTTGTTTTTGGTGTCTCCAACACGTCTTCATTCTTCGAATTTGAAGGCCTTGGGCCGTAGGATAATACATTCATTAGTTATGAGGGCTTGGCCACTCTAGCATTACTGATAAAATTTAACTAGGTGATGTACATTCCAATGCCTAGGGACCTCTGTCCCATTGGGGCGTTTGGGTTTGTAAGTCCCGGGCTTGATGATAGCGGCCACAATGCAAGGGCCTTCAAACTTAGGATCCATTTTGCCGCCCTCGGTTGGCTGGCTTGCCTCCTTTCGTCGTAGGACATAATCTCCCACTTGGAATTCTCGAGAGCGGACTTTGGCGTCGATGTAGCTTTTGACCTGCCTTCGGTAGTTCTCCGACCGCATGAAGGCTTGCTCTCGGCGTTCTGAGATGATGTGAAGGTCGAGGGCCATGTTGGCGTCATTGACTTCGGGATCATATTGGGCTACCCTTCGGGTAGGAAGGGTCACTTCAGTGGGAGCTTTAGCCTCAAATCCATAGCACAGGGTGAAGGGTGTTTCACCTGTTGCCCGTCGAGGGGTGGTGCGGTAAGCCCATAGGATATTGTGGAGTTTTTCTACCCAGCCTCCCCCTTCGGCCTCCAGCTTCTTTTTGAGGCCCTCAAGTAATGTCCGGTTGGCATTCTCCACTTGACCGTTGCCCTGAGGGTAGGCAACGGATGAGAAGGTATGCTTGATGCCCCATGCCTCGAGGAGGGCACAGAAGGGGGCTGCCTCAAATTGAGTCCCGTTGTCGGTGATGATTTGTTGAGGGACACCGAACCTCATGAGGATGTTTTTGAGGACAAAGTGGCGGCACCTGGCCTCAGTAATGCTGGCGAGGGGCTCAACCTCCACCCACTTGGTGAAGTAGTCAATGGCAACGATGATGTACCTGTTGTTTGAGGTACCCCTCGGCAGAGGGCCCACAAGGTCTATGCCCCATCTAGCGAAGGGTATAGATGTGCTGATGGGGGCATAGGTTACCGCTGACCTGTCGGGGGCCTTCTGGAAGTGTTGACAGGCGGTACACCTTCGGGCGAGATCCGCACAATCCCGGGCCATCGTAGGCCAGAAGTAGCCTTGGACTATGAGCCTTCGGGACATGGAGAAGGGTCCCTGGTGAGCTGAGCAAGTGCCATTGTGCACTTCCTCCATTGCAACTTCAGCTTCATCTTGATGAAGGCACCGGAGCAGTATACCATTGTAAGATCGTTTGTAGAGCCTTCCGTCCTCGATGGTGTAGCTGGGGGCCCTCAACTTTGCCAGCTTGGCCCGGGCCTCATCCTTGGGCAGTTGCCCTGTGGTGATGAAGGCAATGATGTCTGAGATCAAGTCCTCCTGTCTATGTTGTATATTCATGATGGGGCTGGCGTGTATGCTGGAGAGGCTGAGCTCCTCGATTTTGGCGATTTTTTATATGTGCTCGGGGGATTCGGCCGAGAGCTTTGATAAAATGTCGGCCTCAAAATTTTGAGCCCTCGGTATTTGAGTGAGAGAGTGTGCCTCAAATACCTTAAGCAATTCCTTGGCGGCTTCCTTGTATTGTTTCATCCTCCCTTCCTTGGCCTCATACTCTCCTGAAATTTGGCCGACGACTAACTTGCAATCGCATTTGACGTGGATCCGTCGGGCCTTCATGTTAGCTGCTAACCGAAGGCCACAGAGGAGGGCCTCATATTCGGCTTCGTTGTTGGAGACTTTGAAAAAGAAGAGGATGGAATAATAGGCCCGGGAGCCTTCGGGGGAAATGAGAACTACCCCTCCCCCACAAGCTTTGATAGCGGAGGAGCCGTCGGTGTAGAGAGTCCACCAGTCATCCGAGGGTGCCGAAGGCTCCTCGTCTGTGGCTGATCTCGCCGTGCATTCCGTCACGAAGTCCGCCAGGGCTTGGTCCTTGATGGCAGGCCTCAGACGGATGTCGATGTTGTATTGGCTGAGGAAGATAGCCCACTTTACCATCCGAGAGGAGCTGGTGGGGCTCCTCATCAAAGCGCCGAGGGGTTGGTGTGTGAGGACCTGGACCGGATGAGCTTGGAAGTAGTGGCCCAACTTCTTGACAGTCAAGACAATAGCTAGCACTGTTTTTTCCACGGGGGAATACCGGAGTTCCGCTTCCCTGAGGGTCTTGCTAACATAGAAGATGGCATGCTGAACGCCATCTTCTTCCCGGATGAGTACTGAGCTAATGGCCGCCGGGCTAACACCAAGGTAAAGGTACATGGTTTCCCCTACCTTGGGTTTAGAGAGAACAGGGGGTGAAGATAAATATCGTTTCAGCTCGTCGAAGGCCTCTTGGCACTCTGAGGTCCATTGGAAGCCGGCGGTCTTCCTCATGATTTGAAAGAAGGGTAAGGACTTCTCCGCCGATTTGGATAGGTAGCGGTTGAGGGCTGCCAGGTGGCCCGTCAACCGTTGGACCTCCTTCACGTTGCGTGGGGGCTCCATGTTGGTGATGGCCTGAACTTTCTCGGGGTTGGCCTCAATCCCCCTTTGGCTCACCATGTAGCCTAAAACCTTGCCTCCTTGCACGCCGAAGGTACATTTCTTCGGGTTTAGCCGAAGGTTGAACTTTTGCATGATGGCGAAGATCTCCCGGAGGTCGTCAGCATGGCTCGATGATTGTTTGCTTTTGACGATCATGTCGTCAACATAGGCCTCCATGGTGCGCCCTAGGACAGCCTGAAAGACTCTGGCCACCATCCAGGTGTAAGTGGTGCCTAAGTTCTTAAGGCCGAAGGCCATGACAAGGTAGCAGAAGATGCCATCGGGAGTCATGAAGGCTGTTTTTTCGGCGTCTTCCTCGTGCATGAAAATTTGGTGATATCCTCGGAAGGCATCGAGGAAGGACATGATCTCGCACCCCGCGGTCTCATCCACCAGTTGATCAATATTTGGTAAGGGGAAGGGGTCCATGGGGCACACCTTGTTTAAATAAGTGTAATCCACGCACATGCGGAAGGTGGGCGGCTTTTGTGCGAGGACTACGTTGGCCAGCCATGAGGGGTACTTTACCTCCTTGATGTGCTTGATGGAGAGGAGCATGGTGACCTCCTTATTCACAAAATCCCTTCTCTCGGCTGAGAGGGGTCTCCTTCACTGTTGTATAGGTTTGACCGAGGGGTCCACCGAGAGGCAGTGGGTGATGACCCTTCGGCTGATTCCGGGCATGTTCTCTGGCCCCCACGCAAAAACAATGGAGTAGGCACGGAGGGCTTCAATTATGCCGGTCTTCAGGTCTTCGGGGAGCTTGGCTCCAATCTTCAAGACTCTCTCCGGCTTGGCCGGATCGAGCACAAAGTCTTCTACTTCCTCGGCGGCTTCAGCCCTCGGCCTTTTTTCTTCTTCCTCCACGGTCCCGGTGATGGTGTCAACACGGAACTCGGTCTTACTAACCTTCTTCGTCACTTGAAGGTAGCAAGCGTGGGTAAGTTTTTGATTCCCCCTTGAGTACCCAATGCCTCCTTCGGCGGGGAACTTGAGGCATAGATGCCTCATGGAGATGATGGCTTCGAGGTCCTCGAGGGCTGGTCTGCCTAGGATGATGTTATGGGCACAGTCGATGTTGACGACGACGAACTCCACTTCGAGCTTGGCTCTATGGAGCCCGTCACCGAATAGTACCGAGAGGGTAATGACCCCCCTCGGAATCAATAGTGTCTCCGGTGAAGCCGGTGAGAGGGGTCTTGATGGGACGAAGGGACCCCCTCTCCAGATGCAACTCCCTGAATGTGCTGAGGTACATTACATTGACGGAGCTGCCCGTGTCAATGTAAGTTCGGTGGATGATGGTGTTGTTGATCTCCGTGCGGATGACGAGGGCATCCCTGTGCAGAGAGGAAGCCGAGGGGAGATCGGCGTTGGTGAAGGTGATGGGTTCCTCCCTCAACCGCTTTACCGGGGGCATACGAGTGATTTCCCCCACGTATAGTGATTGAGCCCACTTCTTCCGCTGGCTGGTGGAGTCCCCCTGTGTTACCTCCAGTGATCATATGGATGTGACGCTTCTTTTCCTGGTACTGCCTGTACTCCTCCTCCTCATCGAGGTTTCCAATTTCCCTTTTCTTACCCTTCGGGTCGCCGAGGGGGATGGTGTTTGGGTTAACCCAGGCGTTTGCTTTCTTAGGGGGCCCCCTGGTAGTGAGGGGTCCCCTGAGGCGGAGGGCCTCTGATGAATTGGGACAGGTGGTCTGCCCGTATCAGCCTTTCGATGGCCGTCTTCAGCTGATGGCAGTCGTCGGTGTTGTGCCCTTGGTTGCGGTGGAACCGACAATAAGGATAATTGGGGTTGATGGTGTATACCTCCAGGGGTGCGCGAGAGTCGCGCTCTACAAGGCCCCTCTCCTCGGCGAAGTCTAGGATGACACTGACGGGGTGCGTCAAGGGAGTCCGAGGGTGCTCCAAAAGAATGGACTGGGCCCAAGCCTTCAGGTTTCCCTTGTAACCTCCCCTGGGCTTTGCTTGGCCATGCCGCGGGCGATCACTGGGGGTTGCCGAAACCTTGGATTGATTATGGGGAGCCCTCGGCCCCCGGTTGCCCTTGTCATCTGGCCGAGGGCGTTGCTGATCGGGGTTGTGATGGCACTTTTCCACCTCCTCGGCTTCGGCGTACCGGTCCCCTCGCTGGAGAGCCCTTATGTAATCGCGGGGAGGTTCGATGATGAGGCTCCTTGAAAAGTTCCCAGGGCGAAGCACTGTCTGAAAGAGGGGCAGGAGGGTCCCATCGTCAGCGCCATCAACTTTATCCGCCTCCGTCCTCCAGCGCTCCAAGAAGTCCCGAAGGGTCTCCTCCTTCCTTTGTCTTACTGTTAGTAAGTGGGAGAAGTATTTCCTTGACCGGCGCCTCCCTGCAAACTGCGTCAGGAAGCGTTGGGCGAGTTCTTGCCATGAATCGATGCAGCCTTCGGGCAATCGGTTGAACCATTCGGACGCTGGTCCCTCTAAGGTGGAAAGGAACCAACGGCACAAATATTCGTCCGATGCCCCCACCATCATCATGCTGTTTTGGTATCGGCTGTAATGCTCCTGGGGATCTGTCTTCCCTTCATAGGGCCTGATGGGTTGCCCCCGGTATTTTTCCGGGATTCGGGCCGCCAATACCCTTGGGGTAAATGGCGTCCTAGTCCGGAGTTGGATGACAGGTTCCCCGGAGCCTTCGACTATTTTCTTTTCCATTTCCTCCATTTTGGCCAACATGGCCTCATACTTGGGATCTGCATGAGGGGTGGTGACGGCGGTATGTGCTCGATGATCCTCCATCTCATTAAGCCGGCGCTGGAGGGCTGCAATGATTTCGTCCCTGGGATCCTTCGGGAGGGCCTCTGCCCCCTGCGAACGAACAAGGGCCGAGTGGGCCTGATTGATTTGGTGCCTTGCGTCATCGGCATGAAGTGGTGCCTTGCCTTTGTCCTGATGGGGACGCCTCTCGTCTGCCCTTGAGACGGATCCCCCACTCTCTTGGGGTCTTTGGGATGCCTTTCCACCGAGGCGGTCTTAGACCCCTCGGCGGTCTTGCGCTCCTCCGAGCCTCTCGAGGGCTGAGGCTCGAGGCCTTTCTTTGTTCGCACCACGTTGGTCCCGGGATTGGACCTCCTGGGAAGCGGTGTCTTGAGCCACGACCCCTTCGTCGTTCCCCACCCGAGGGGTAGGGTTCACGAAGGGGGGTGGCCATGGGAGAAGAACAACGTTCTCCCCGATTTGTGTTTCAAGGGGTACCTGAGTGCCGAAGGACCTGGGTTTTGAGTGAGTGTCTGGATGAAGGCAGAGAATGCCGATTGTACGTCGATAGTGAGAACCGGAGGGCTCACTTGATTTTCGCTCCGGTCCCTCCTTCGGGTTTCGATGCCAAGGCGGGCATCGGGAGCATTTTGTTGGAGCTGAAGGCGCAGGTCAACAGCAGCATGTTCCAACTCATTGATGACCCCGCCCTCGGGAGCCTTGTTAGAGGCTCCGGGGGCGTTGACTTCACCGAGGGCCAGGTTGTTGTCCTCAAGGTTCTTGGACTGAGAACGGGTGGTTCTTCCCATTTTGGTAGGTGTTTTTAGCTGAAGGGGAGGGTTTCTTACTTGATTGTTCGACCTCTCAACGAGAGCACCAAATGATGGATAAGTGTACCCGGGGGGTATCTATCCGAGGGGTTATTGCGGGGAGAGAATAGAGAGAAGTCAGAGCAGAAGTAAGAGAGAGAGTATGTATTGCTGAGAAAGTATTGAGCGTATTGAGCTTAGATTACAAATGGGGAAAGGGGTGCTATTTATAGTAGTAATAAATGCCAGATAGGGACACATGTCATCATTCTGGTGGTCGAGGGGTCATCTCAATGGGGTGGCACTGGCACTCGCATGTGGCCGTATTAAATGTGGTGGTTGGATGTGACGTTCGTACTCGGTACATCGATCTGGCGCATGTGGGTGGGAGATTTTGTCGAGGAGATGCCTTCGGCCGTAGATGATTGGTCGAAGGCTCTTCATCCCGGGGGCCTCTAGGTGCCGAGGGCTATTGTTTTCGCCGCTTTCAACCAGACACTTTGAGTGCTTTAAAGAAGCTGTACTGTAAGTTTATGAGCCTTCGGCCAGGGGGCAAAAGGCACCCCAGTGTTCGTCGTGGGCTGTTTGGCACTTGGGGTGCTGTGATTTGGGCCTGCTGTGCTTACTGGGCCTATTGGGCCTTCACTATATTAGTGGGAGTCTATGGTCCGGGGGTTCCTGGGCCATATACTCCATCAATTACTGATCTTTGCTTCTCCACGCGACACGTATTATTTCAAATAGTCCTGGTGACGTGTCATTATTTGGTTGGTCATCGATACAGTGTTTGTCAGACTATAAATTAGCCTTTAGTTCTTTAGTTCTGGGTTTCGAATTATCAATCCTTCGTGCTTTAGCTCTGCCTTCTTTCTAAACTCTCTTCAAGCTTTTCGTGTTCAGGTATTTTTCATCCCTTAATTTCTCGCCTTTTTCTTCGGTCTGGTCGGTATGAGTCCTCAATCGCGTTCCTCTGATTCGGAAATGGCTTCCCAAGGGGATGACCATGATGCCGCCGTTGTGGAGGTCATAAATGTCCCATTTGCCGGTGGTTCAAATGAAGCGACAGCGGAGACTAGAGCGGAGGCGAGGATTCTTCCGTCATCTCTTCTACTGATGATGATTCCGACGATACGAAATCCGGTGATGAACTCGTTTCAATGGCGGCCGGCCTCCCGGGCGACGTTCCCCGTCATAAGGTGGATTTGAGGCTAATTAGGGAAAGGCGGAAAAAATTGACCTCTCATAATAGGGCTCAAATCCCAGCCCTAATTCCGGACCCGGTGGATTTTCTTCTTCGGGCTGGGCTTCACCCAATGCGCCGCCACCTTCCTGGGATGGTGGTGGTCCATTTTGACTCGGTGAAAGCTGGGCTTAGGTTTCCCCTACACCCTTTCTTCGTTTTCTTCCTCAATTTTTCTGAGATAGTACCGGCCCAAGTTATGTCGAACTCTTATCGAGTGATATCGGGCTTCATTTTCCGTTGTAAAGATGCCGATGTTACTCCCACTCTAGAGTTGTTCCATCAATTTTTTAAGGTGGCTCCCCAGCAGACACATGGTTACCTAGCTGCAACTGCCCGAACGGGTCATATTTTATTTAAGGGTAATCCTACCTCGATCAAGGGGTGGAAAGACCGGTTCTTTTTTGTCTCCATTCCGGACGGCCTGATTCCGAAAAAATGGAATGCATTTCCCCGTAAAACTCCCGATCCGCTTCTTACCGAACAAATCTGCAAGGATGTCTTCGCAATAGAGAAGGACAAATCTTGTGATATCATAGGATATCTGACCCTCGATCGTCTTATCAAGGCCGGGATAGGTACTGCCCGCTCTCTTGGGTATACTTGTTTAAGAACCAAGTACCATGGGCCGGTCGGTCCTTCCCGTGCGAGAAACGTTCTGTTTTCCTTGTTTCCCACGTGATAAGACCGCTCGGTACTAACATTTCCCTTTGTTATTTTTTCAGCCCCCAATCCAGACGCTCCAATGGATAACAGTCGTGTGCTAGCAGCCGGTGGAGTCGGAAAAAGGAAGAAGGCAAAGAAGAATCCCAAGCCTAATCCCTCCACCACTACTGATCAAGGTGCCGGGTCTTCTCAACCCATTCAGGAGCCACAACCCATTCAGCAGGTCCCCCATCAGGACCAATTTGAAGAGATGCTGATCGATGATCAGTTCAGATCCGATCAGTTGCATCATTTTTCAGAGCACTTCCAGGTTGCTCAGGATGCCAACACGATTGCAGGTGAGACCAATACCGTCCACCTTTCTGGGCAGGTCGAACGGATATCTCTAGCAGATCCCGTTCATGACGTTTTAGAGAAAGCTGGCTGTTCTGCAAGCAAATCTGGTCCACTTCTTCGTGGTTCAATAATTTTGTTGTTCCTAAGTTGCCGGTCGAGCAATTTGAAGAATGTTTGGCCTCAGCTGCTTTGAAGGTATTTTATTTTTTCTTCTATACTTTATTTTATAAGTTATCATTTATCCCATTTTGTTTCATTTTTGTCTTCGAACGGGATCTTGTAGGTGGGGCTCTACAGCTTGCAACTGAGAGAGGCTCGGCTGGCTAAGGAGCGGGACCTGATCGTTGCTCAAACCTTCGCTGAGCAAAATACGGCTGCTGCCTTCGGCACTCTAGAGGCCGAACGGAAAGCCTCTGTAGAAGAAAAGCAACGACTCGAGTATGAGCTTGGTGAGCTTAGGGTCCAGCTCGGGGCCTTTTAAGCCAAAGTGTATACCGTCGAAGCTGCTTTGGTGAGGTTTGAAGAAACCGCTCCCCGTATCCCGGACGGCCCTGCTGAGGTGAATGTTGATCTGTCCGCCGTTCGGGAGGTATTCAAATCTTTTGAGGAGTTTACTGCCCTAAAAAAGGATTATGCACAACAGGAGCTCCCGACCACTTTTGGTGCTTATCTCGACGAATTCCCCAAGGGTGATGCTCTGCAGAGAAGGGGTGAAGCTGCTCGAACGGGATCCTAGGGGCAAAAAATTCAACGACTCCCTGGCCCAATCCCTTTATGTGATGGGTTGCCAGCATATCCTGGCCCCCTTCGTGGCCAAGCTCCAAGAAATGCTAGGGAGGCCGGTCGAGCTTGCCGATCTTCCCTCGGTCCCTATCGTTGAGGCCCAGTTCGAGAAGTACCAGCGAGATCTGCAACGGGCTGCCGATCGAGAAGCCGGGAGGGATCCTGAACCCCCTACTGATTAAGATGACGACGAGGATGATGATGAAGAGGAAGGGAACAAAGAGGCCCCTGGCCAGTAGATTAGATTTGAATACTTTAGTGATTGTAATTCCTTTCCCCCTTTTACTTTTTTGCAAATCATCTTTGTACTTCCCGACCAGTAGAGTCGATGAATATATCTGAAACCTTTTTTAGCTCAATGCTTTGTTTATTATCTTTCTTGTCTTTATTAATTTCTTGCTTTATCAGTCGGTATTCGGTCTAATTCATGGGTCTTCTAACCCTTAGGTTTTTGACCATTTCTCTGTATCACCGTTCGGGCTTCTGACAATTCACCAGGACTTGGCACCTTTTTGTGTTCCTTGATATTTGGATTGACGTACGGACATCAGACAGTTCTGTAGGACTTGGTCCTTTTTTGTGTTCCTTGTCATTTGGATTGCCGTACGGGCTTCAGACAGTTTTGTAGGACTTGGTCCTTTTTTGTGTTTCTTGTCATTAGTAGTTTTTCGAACTTTTTGTTTCTGATGTTCCTTCTATCCCACATAATTGTTAGTAGAATCCCTGTTCAGTTTGTTTGCTGCCCATATCTTAACAAGTCTAGATGTTACCAACTTCTTACCTTAGATTCCACAAGTCTCTCATTTTCTGAACATCGCCCGAATCCTGTACCTCTGTTGTCTCTATATCATCTATGAATTGGTTAGGTATACTTTCCCCCATAGTGAAATTTTACCCGTTCGGGGCGTCTCTTTACATGTTCATCCTTTGGTGTCTCTAAAATGGCTTCCTCAAAACTGCTAACCCGTTCGGGGAACGTGTCGGATTACCATAATGCGCCATAATCTCGTGCAACCACATTTTGCCACGTGTTCCTCATGGGTTAGGGTTTTTTGAGGCATTTTTACTTATAAATAGAGGTGTTTTTTCTTCATTTTTTCTGTTGCTTCCTTAATTTCTTCTTGCGTTTATCTAAGTTTTCTCTCTCTCTCTCTAGAGTTTTCTCTCTCTAAAGGCCCCTTGAATTACCAGTGCCCTTTTATGTTTTTTTCTTCTAGCTCGGAATCTGAAGAAATGCCGCTTATCCGTAGAGGAAAAACTCCCGTTGTTAACAAGGCCGAAGGCTCTTCTTCCCAAGCACCTGACTCTTCTAATCCCCCTATATCAAAAGATGCCGAACAGCCAGTATACGACGGATGTCTTTCCGGAGATGACCTTAAAATATATAACAAGGGAATGCCCGAACGGCCACCTCGCATTCCTTTGCATTTCACCCATATTCGTAAACAACGGCAACGCCTTCCTGAAGACGCCGAACGGTAACTTCGTCAACTTTTGCCTCCGCCTAGGGAGTTTTATGTTGGATTCATCAAGCATTCCATGAGGTGCCGATCGGGGCACGTGCTTATGCATTTTGATGCCTTGATCGTTGGGCTACGTTTCCCTCTGCATCCATTCATTGTGGAGTTCCTGCATCGGGTTTTGGTACTCCCTGCTCAATTCGCGCCCAGCACCTATCGCATCCTGAACGGTTTCATCATCCGTTGTCACGAACTGGATATTGCTCCTAGCGTTGATCTGTTCTTGTACCATTACTGCTATCAGCCCTACTGGACCACTGTGTATCTGAAGTTGGTGGCCCGAGCTGACCGTTAGCTGTTCACGGATAATCCTACCCCGCCGGCTGATTGGGAGGAATGGTTCCTCTTTGTCCGTGTGGGTGCTTCGCTTCCATTTCCTGATCGGTGGAACGCTTACCCTGTTCGGGATTCTGAGCCCAGATTAGATGTCGTTCTGTACTCTCAAGCTGAATCTCTGCGTCTGGGAGGAACTCGGAGTCTCCGGGGCTTCATTACTCCTTCTAAAATGTTAGCCGCTGGGATAGGTAAGTTCACTTGTGTTCCAAAATGTTTACCCGGTCGATCTTTGTTCAATCTGTTCCTTATCTTTATTTTCCTTCTTTGCAGGTGTGATACCCCCTATTCCGATTCAGCATCCCATCTCTACCACCACTCCGACTGCCTCCTCTAGAAAAGGAAAGGAAAAAATGGTTACCGACCATACATCTGCTGAACAAGCCCGGAAGAAACGCAGAGGGAATGATGGTAGCACACTGATCCCGATCGATCACGTGGTTGATTTGACCGGTCCAGATGAGAAGCTGAAAAAACCTGTCATTCCTGTTCAGCCCCAGACTTCAGTTCTTAACAACATACCGGTCGACGATCGGATGTTTGTGGAGTTTTCAAATTTGGGACCGCGGGCAGAGGGAAGGTACCTGTTCAGGCAGATGCCATCTTCTATGTGGTGCAGTACCTCCTTGAAGGTTCCTCCCAGTTTTTCTACTCTGACCCATTGGTCTGACTTGGTCGAGGCAGGTCATCTGGAGACTCTCAAGGTACAGATCATTCAACAACGTCTTTATCCTTAAACCTTTTCTGATTTTGTATATGTCATCTGATTTTGTTTGTTACTCTTTGTAGGCCGGCGTATATTATCATCGGGCTTTCCTGGCAGCCGAGCGATCGGGATGAAGGACAGATGCTTCTATCTGCTGCCCGCAAGCTTATCATGGATATGCAGGATCGCCTCAAAAAGGGTGAGAGGGCAATGGCTGAAGTGGCTGAAATGGAGGAGAGGATCCGGCGTCGCGATTGGGAGGTCAAAGATCTCAGGGCAAAAGTAAAGGCGGCTGAAATCGCTGGTATAAAGTTTGAAAAGGTCCAGGGAGAACATCCTCTCGTTCCTTACATTGTCGATACCTCGAAGATCAATACCCAGGCGGTGATTGATTATCAACGAGGGAAAGGACTAGATGTTGCTTTGCAGATCAAGTCGGGGATCAAGCTCTTGGACAGTACGCCCAAAGGGAAATACTTTTTGGATGTTCTGACCGAGAAGACTGTGAAGCAAAGTCAAGATCTGCTTCTCGACAGGAATCTCGATCTGATCATGGAACATTTTCTAAAACTGTTCGATCGAGATGAGTTAGGAATTGATGATCTCTTCGGGAATACATATGACCGGATCATGGAGAACAGGCAGAAGGCAATCCCAGACAATGTGACGTAGACTGGCAGATCTCCACCTTCATCTTCCCCGACCGGCGATCATTCATGATATTCTACTTGTTGTTTAATCCATATTCTCTTTATTTTCTTTGTACTTTTCGGCCAGTAGTGCCGAAGAATAAAGCGCGATTCAGTACACAATCTTGTCATTTCTATGCTTTTTTTATATCTTCCAAACCCGAACTCATGGTTCCTCCATTTTTAGGGTTATCGAACGTGGCTCGGTTCGTCCATTCTTATAGTTTTGACATCATCTCCAAGCCGTTTTGATCGAGTCAAATTCTGCTAGCTGAAATGATGGCTCCCTCCAAACTGTTAACACGTTCGTCATTCGGTCATCCGGAACGATTCTACGTGTTAAAAGATGAGGTGAGACTCTCTCTCTTCCAAACCCATAATTCCGATGCATTCCGAATAGTTTCCTCTGATTCGTATCATCCATATTAGGGGTTTGAGGTGACCATCTTCAAACTATAAATAAGATCCCCGGATCGGATCATATCTTACCTATAGCTAAAATGGCGACTCACTTCCAAATCAAGTTAATGACTCAGGCGAGATTTTAAAAAACCATAGTTCCGATCCCCCGGACGACAATTCATGTTACCGAACGTCGCTCGGCTCGTCAATACTTATAGTTTAGTCACCATCTCCAAGCTGTTTTGATCCCTTTCCCGTTCGTGATCACAGGGTGAAAGTCAATTAGCTGAGGTGATTCACCTCCAAGCCGTTTTGATCCCACTACCCGTTCGTGATCACAGGGTCAAATTCTGTTAGCTGAGATGCTGGATCCCTCCAAACTGTCAACCCGTTCATCATTCGGTCATCCAGAATGTTTCTACGTGTTAAGAGCTGAGATGAGACTCTCTGAAAGTTCTGATACCCCGGACGACAATCCATGTTACCGAACGTCGCTCGGCTCGTCGATACTTATAACTGACACCATCTCCAAGCCGTTTTGAAGAGGTGGCAACAACCGTTTTTATTGATAAAATTTCCTCAGATGCTCTACATTCCATATCCCTGCCGGTCGGCCTTCGGTAGATTGTAGGCCGAACGTTCCTGAAGCATATTTTCCGCAGACCTGATAAGGGCCTTCCCAATTTTGGGCCATTTTTCCGCCTTCGAGAGGCTTGCTCTTTTCTCGTTTTCTTAGGACCAAGTCTCCTACTTCGATTGTCCGAATTTTGACTTGTTTATCAAAGTATCTCCTTGTAGCCCTGTGATATTCCTCCATTCGTTTTGCTTCCAGATCTCTCCTTTCTTCAATGAAATGCAGTTCGGCCCGTAGATTATCCTCATTTCGTTCCAGGTCGTAATGCACTGTTCGGTGTGTGGGGACTAGGACCTATGTTGGTACTTTGGCCTGGAAGCCGTAAGCGAGGGCAAACGGAGTCTCTCCTGTGGCCGTTCGAGTGTGGTCCTATATGTCCATAAGATGTAATTCAATTGATCCGGCCATGATGAGGAGTATTCTTCTAGTTTTTTCTTCATACCGTCCATGATGGTACAGTTCATGTTCTCTACTTGGCCATTTGCCTGGGGGTATGCTACAGATGCTCTGGAATGCTTGATCCCCCATTTAATCAGATAGTTCTCAAAACTCCTGCTCACAAACTGCCTTCCATTATCTATTATGATCTGTTCCGGGAGGCCGAAGCGGCAAATAATGTTTTGCCACACAAATTTTTGGCACTTGACATCTGTGATGCTAGCCAATGGTTCGGCCTCCACCCATTTGGTGAAGTAGTGTATCCCGACGATGATGTATCTTCGTCCTCCGGGGGCATTAGGTAGGGGCCCTAGCAAGTCGATCCCCCACCTAGCAAACGGAAGAGCAATGGTCATTGGAGTGTAAAAGGTAGTTGGCCGTCCGGGGACAGGTGCATATAGCTGGCAGACTTTGTTGGTCCCGGTTATACTGGATACAGTCTAGAGGGGGGGGTGAATAGACTGTATTAGTTTTTAGCTTTTTAAACTAAGTACCAGATTTACAGAATAGCCTGTTCTGTTGGAAGAACAGACTGGCAGCGGATGGAGTTCTGGTAGGGAGTTCTGTTAGCCTCAGAGAAGCAATAGGCAGTAGGCCTTCTGTTAACTCGTAGAACAAGTTCTGCTGAACACAGATACCAAGTCCAAGGAGTTATACAGTTCTAACTAAATGCAATTATTAAAAGCAGTAAGTAAACGACACCAGGGATTTTTATAGTGGTTCAAGGAACAACTCGTTCCTCTAATCCACTGTTCCACTAAGCTGTAAAAACTGCCGTTTACAAAGCCTTAGTCCTAGTACTTAAGAAGCACTCCACGTCTTCTTCAAGCCTAGATGTGTCCTGGGATGCACTGCCTGGCTTCCTTTAACACTGGTCCTTTCACTGAGTTTCCTTGAAGTATCACCACTTCACTACTCCAGTTATTTGGACGTCCTTCTTGTAGCAAGAAGAGTTTCTGTTGAAACTGGGGTTCCTCCAACTAGCTACGTTACAAAAGATTTGTATGTGATGAGCTTGAAGAGTTGAAGAACACTTGGAACTTTGCTTGAGTTGGAAAGAGTATTTTTCCAACTTCTGCCTTCTCTTGTAGAGGATAATGAGTTTGAATCTCAAGGAGGCTTTTTGCTTTTCAGAGTTTGAATATCTTGCTTGTGGTTAGCAAAAGTTGCAATGTAATCTTGGCAAAGTTATCTCCAAGTTTTTTGGTTGTTCTTCGTAGTGTATCTTTTATACTGAGGTTGTCTTCCCGTTGGAGGAGTAGGAGGACAACTGCATTTAATGCGCGATCAGTTGACTTGACTAGTAGAGCCCAATAAAGTTGGCGGGTTACTATTTTGGGATAAAGCATTCCTGACATTGCGGCCAATCATCTGCAATTACTCTACGTAGCATGGGGTGCATTAAATGAGCATTTAATGTAAGCACTGTAGCTTTTCCGTTTCATACTCCTAGCCATTGAAGGAATCTTTTAGTTGACTTCCCGGTTCTTTGAAATTCTTCTAAGTGTCAGACCTTCTGGTGTCTTTGTTTGAGAGTAGAACAGAGGAGGCCTGGAGCACTTCTGTTGGGAGTATCCAACAGAGACCCAGAAGGGTTTCTGTCAGAGTCAAGACTAACAGAGATCCTGAGGACTTCTGTTCTGGAGCAGAGAACCAAAGGTCCTCTGTTTCAATAATGTCTTAAGAGGCACTTCTTCTCTTGAAGCCCTTTTGCTCTTGAAGCCCTTCTGCTTTTGAAGGTCTTCTGCTTTTGAAGGTCTTCTGTCAAGTCGAATACTTCTAAGAATTTTACAAAGGAAAATTCTAATACATAATTTCTAAAGGGGTACTCTAAAGCCCTAATTAATCTAGCATCATCAAAATCTAATTACAATTATTCCTTACAATTTCCCCCTTTTTGATGACGCCAAAACCCTTTAACTATTTCCAGAGAAGTGCCTTCACCATGAAAAAAAAATTAAGTTTAAAAACTTCCATTAAAATTTTGGTGGGCAACTTGGCATAGGAAAATAGTAAGAGTACGATACATTCAGATAGCAGAAAATAACAGAAATAAACAAACACAAGCAGAAGGCAAAAAAGACAAGAATTTGAGCAAAAGCACTTCAAAGTAAGAAGGCAAAGATGTGATTTTATTAGATAGGTTTTACAGAGTTTAAACCTTACACATTCTCCAGATTAGCTGCCTGTAGAGCTTCTTCCTCTAGTCTTTGAAGCTTGAGCAGTTCTTCGTTTATTTCAGCTCTGATTTTGAACAGATTGTCAGACCTTTGATAAGATGCCCATATTGGAGAAAGCTTACA